TTGAAACCTCCTTCAACCCACTTTTGATCCGAATCTGAGTGTCCATTGAAAGTCACGCTTCATGGTTGCAATGGATGGAGGGATCAACAAAAGAAATGGAAAGAATGGGTTGAAACAATAGAGGTTATCCATCGCCTTGTATGGATAGCTGCAGGATTTTACAGAGCACTAAAAGATTCAACTTATAGAGCCCATACTAACAAAAATTTAATCTTTGGGCTGGTAGAGAGGCGGTCTTTTGAGACTAACAGTTTTATGTTTCCGTGGGGTGAAGCTAGTGTTAGTCTTGAAGACATAATGATTTTGGGAGGGTGATATGTTTTGGGTGACTCAGTTAACTACCCCCCCCCCTTTCAATCCCATGAGTTGGTAGAGATTCAAGAGTATCTTGAGAATGCGAGAAAAGAACTTATCAGATCGAAGAAAAATAATCGTAGTAGGTGATTGAATCACACTGAACCACTATTCATGAAGTAATTTAACCACCTACTATGATTATTTGTCTTTGATCTGATAATTTCTCTTCTCGCATTCTCAAGATCTCTATCAAATTAGGAGATTGAAGGGGATACTTAACATAGTCACCCAAAAAAAAACCTCCCGAAACTATCATCTCTTCAAGACTAACAGTAGGGACACACCACGAAAACATAAAATTGTTAGTCTCACAAGACCACCTCTCTACAAACCCAAAGATTAAATTTTCGTCGGTATGGACTCTATAAGTTGAACCTTTTAGCTCTTCGTAAACTCCTGCATCTATCCATACAGGGCGATGGATAACCTCCATCGTTTCAACCCATTATTTACGTTTATTTTATTGATCCCTCCATCTATTGCAACCATGAAACTTAACTTTCAATGGACACTCAGATTCTGATTGAAAGTGGATTGAAGGATGTTTCAAATTTTGTCCTTAAGCCGAAGTAGCAATTGGATCTAAAAAATAGGCAACTCTTTGTTGTGGAATTTCACCAAGTGGTGAAACCAACAATTCTACTCCTCTAATAATATTTGGATTTTCCATTTGATGTATTTTAAAATTATATGTGTATATGTTTTTCCAAGAAATGCTTCGGAGGTTATAGAGAAATAGAGTGTGAACTATGGATTGAAATAGTGATATTTAATGTTAGTTACTAATTTCTTGAATAAAGTTTACTACAGATTGTAAATATTTATTAATAGAATCAATTGAACTTTGACTGAAGTTGCTTTATTTGACTTTTAATTGCAATCATTAAATGAATATTGCTTCTTTTGTTTTTAAGTAAGAAGAAATTAATGAGGTTTATTAATTGAATATTTTGCTGCAAAGTTAATTTTAAGATAATTTACTCAAATTATGAATTTGAATAGTCATTTATCATTTGATATAATATTTAGGGATTAACACAACACATAGTGTATATACTTTTTCCATGAATTGGTGTTAATTAACTCTTTTCGAATATATGTGGCTCTTCCACTCATAACGATGTATATTACTTAAATCTTTCGTGAAAGGCTAATATTGTACCAAAAGGTACATATTGATAATGTTTTACGAAAAAATATAAGAAAAAGAAAAAAAATGACTAAGTTTCAAAAAATAAATTAATATTATGATTTAAAAAAACTCAATTTTCCAGCTGTCTCATTCTTTGTTCTATGAAACATCACCCATGTATACCTGGAAAAATCATCACAACAACAAGAATAAATCTCCTACCTTGAATGAGGACTTTGTTTGTTTGCCCTTCGCACAAGCATCACAAACTTTATCATTTGTAAACTTCACCTTGGGAAGTCTACGGACCAGGTCCCCTGACACAAGTTTGTGAAGAAGAGTAGAACTTACATGACCAAGACGTCTGTGCCATAGATTAGATTCATCAATTTGAGCACTTAGACATGAAAGGTGATATCCTTCAATGGATTCTAGGTCTACTACGTACATATTTATTACTCTTGTAGCAGACATCACTACCTTCCATGTTATGCAGTTTGTAACCAAACAATTATTAGCCATGAACTTGACTTCATTTCCTCTGTCACACATCTGAGATATACTCAAACGATTGTATTTTATCCCTTCCGCATAATGAACATTGTTGATTGAATTACTGTCAGACTTTCCTATCTTTCCAATTCAAAGAATAGAACCTTTCTTTCCACCACCAAAGGAAACACCACCACCCTTGTGTGCCAAAGAGAGGAAGTTTGAGGTATCCCCTGTCATGTGCCTAGAGAATCAACTATCCATGTACCAGCACTGACTCTTTCCTCTCTTCTGCACAATAATTACTTCTTAGTTTTAGGAACCCACTTCATGTGGAGTTCCTAGTAACTATCAAAAGTCTTAACAAGAAATCTTCCAGTCCAAGGAGGTGAGAAGTTTTTACTAAAATTAAAAAGAGAACCATGTCCCTTTTACAATTTTTCACAGGTCTGTCATTTCTGACAGATTCATCACATGAACCAGGTCCTTGCTCCCTGTTAGTCTGACGACTTTCTAATTTCACAAACTTCACATGCCTTTCCTTAGCATATTTTAATTTATCATACCTTTCTTTTACATGTACACTTCTTCCACAATGAGTACATAAGAAATTAGAAACCACAGACACATATGTGCCTTTGGGATTATATGGTGGTTCTATTCTTTTGCTCCCTAGACCTCTTTTCCCATTTAAACTTTGCTGAGAGAGATTAGAGAAAATCTTGGAAGAGTCGGTCCATTTTAGGGAGTGACTTAACTCTTCTTTGATTTTCTTAAGATCTTTCCTTAGCTAAGAATTATTTTCAAGAGAAGCAACTAATCAGATTCAGAGATTTTAAGCTTATCCTCCAATTCTTCCTCATAAATGCTAAGTTTTCTTTTATCATGTTTAGAGGTACTAAGCTCTTCTTCTGTTAGACTCCAGTATCCCTATTCTTCTACCTATTTCAAAAATCTGTGTTAGAAAAGATGCATTTTCATTTTGAAATAAACTTAATTTTTCAGTCAGCATTAAGTTTTCAGTAGATCGCTCATCTACAAAATCAATTAGTAAAGTAGCAAGTTTCCTTAGACTTTCAGTAGAGAGATTTCCCAGATCATCTTTTCATTCAAAAAATTTACCTCAAGTGCATCATCCCCGTCATCTGATCTTGCATTAATGAGAAGATTGAGTTGAAGATGCTTTCATTATCTTCAATGTCCATCATAGAAACATCTTCGTGCTCCTCAACTTCTTCCCCGGACTCACTTCAATCATCATCCCATATAGCAAAGGCCCTTTTTACCATCTGATTAGCATGTGCTTTCCTTCGAAAGTTGTTGGGACCAGTTCCTTCTAACAATATCTCACTTCATGAGATTCTTGTTTTTGACTTGGACAGTCTCTCATAAAGTGATCTGGCTTACCACATTTGTGACATAAGTCATTAGTTGCTGCCACTATGCTGGTTGTTCATTTCTTTTGGAAGCCCATTTTTTTTGACAATATTTTGGAACCTTTTTGTCATGTATATCATCTTAGCTTCTTCTTCAGTCATCTCGCTTTGTGAAAATTTCAAAGAAATATTCTTTTCTTTGTTTGACTCCTTCCTAGTTTCTCCTTGCTTCCTGTTCAACTCATCGGTCTGCAGATTTCCAATAACCTCATCCATAGGCAAGGTCGTTAGATCTTTTGCCTCAGTAATTGCATCCACCTTTATTTCCCAAGATTTTGGAAGAATCTTGAGAATTTTTTGGAACTTGCTTGAACATAGGTATAGGTTCTCCTAGACCTCTAAGCTCATCTATGATGGCAGTAAAACGAGATTCATTTCAAATATAGTTTCACCATCCTTCATCAAAAAGTTTTCATATTGAGTAGTTAGCATGTACACCTTTGATTCCTTCACCTTCTTAGTTCCTTCATGAGTAGTTTGAAGGCAATCCCAAATCTTTTTTGCCGATTCACAAGCTGAGATTCTGTTATATTCATCAACACCAATACCACAGACTAGGATTTTTTTTGCCTTGTAGTTCTTTTCATACTTTTTTAAATCAATCTCAGTAAAATCCTTTTTGGTCTTAACCACGAAAGTGGTGAGACTTCCATCCTTCACCTCTTTCATCGAAACATAAGGACAATCCAGGATAACATCTCACAACTCTGAATCCTCTGCATTAATGTAGTAATGCATTCGATTTTTCCACCACTCATAGAATTGACCATTGAAACGAGGTGGTCTTGTTGATGATTGTCCTTCCTCCAAATTTGGTGGAGCAGCCATTCCTTCAGGATCTTTCTTTTCTTGGTGTTAGCAAAAGGGAAAAGTAAAGCTCTGATACCACTTGTTGGAATGTATGTGTCCACTTATATTAGATGGGAACTGGTCCCCTTAACAATATTGTACATTTAATAAAGCACAAAACAGAAAGTAAAAGAGACAATCACTTTTACGTGGAAACCTCCTTACTCAAGAGAGTAAAACCACAACCTGTTCTCAACAGGACTTTTCAACAATCACTTTTCACTTATCTTCAACAAGCAAAAGTAAAAGTCGGTTACAAAATAAGATACTAACCTTCTAGCCTCTTCACTAAGTAATACACCATATTACTTAGCTGAGAACGAGCAGATACAACACTACTTAATAAGAACCTAAGTTACTCGTAACTAAAGCCTTTCAAATGAAACACCCAAGGTTTGAAACATTTCTATCACGTTCGAAAAAAATCTTACATTTTTATAACAATTACAAGAAAATATGAAAACAGCAAATAACAAAAAGAACTGAAAGCCCTTTGATCAATATCTTATTGTTTTGATGTTTGTTGGTATGGTGTTCCTTTTAAATAAATGAGTTGCTATGTTGTATTATGTTTGATATATATATCCTCATGATTTTTTATCCATCAAACAAAAACAACCTAGTCAGTTGTGATTGGTGAAGTACTCTGCTCCTCACATTTTTCTCGGTCACAGACAACTTTTTACAACTAGTTGTACTTTTCGCTGATAAAGTTGGTTCTTCATATTCTACAGAGGACCGGGTCCCTACACGAGTGAGGAATCATCAAAACATCTTGAGGAGAGCCTCCTGTTATGCCCCAAATATAGACATGGTAAGTAGGTAGTTCAGTAACATGCTTTTCGAGCCTTTGTTCCAACAACTCGTATGTTAGATATCATCCTCAATTTGGATGGGGTGGGTATACAACAGATAGGGATGTTATCTATCCTATTCGAGATGATGGTCAGGCTAGCAATACTTAGCCCAGTTGAGACAATTCGTAGGCAGGTGGTCAGACTCACTTCTATGGTTTTTATTGGTACAGTGAGGCAGAAGTATTTGATATAGTGACCATAGGTATTATTGTAGTCTATGATTGAATGTATACATCCTTATTTAACCCTGATTGCACCATTTCATACATGCCCATTTATTTTGTTGTGGGTTTGAGTATGATTTGTGAATCACTTGATATTCTAATTCATATTTCTACTCCTTTGGGTGATTTTGTGATTGTTGATAGAGTCTATTATTTTTGTGTGATGACTTTTATGGGGTATAAAATCTTGAAAATCTTATTTATATTTGACATGATTGATTTTAATGTCATTTTGGGGATTATTTTGTTGTCTTCATAAAATGTTGTTTTTGACGATCATGCCAAGATAGTTTTCATATCTACATGTCAGGGATGTCTAGGCCTTAGTGGAAGGGTAGTTGTAGTTCTACTAAAAAAACTCATATCTTTTATTTTTGGACAAAAATCACATATGAAAATTTATTCTATAAGAGTGTAAAAGGAATCCTATTTATGAAGTATCATTTATATTATGAGAACAAACTAAGAAAGCCCAAAACAAATGGTGGGAGGCCCAAGATAGTTTGTCAAAACGGGTCTTCCAATCAAACCCGGCCAAAGCCACGTGGTTGGCATTTGAAAGGCAAAGGCAACTTTCACTTTGCTTACTCCGAAAAACTTCCAAAGGCGTTACTCTACTCATCTTCTTAACTTCAACTCTCTCAATTGTTCAACGTCATCTTTCTTGAGGATATCATTATCTACATCATGTCAACAAACGCGAAGCTACAAATATAACTACATTTGTCAATGTCCGACTTCAATTTCTCTTAAAGGTAAACAAACAATTACTCACTGTCAAACGCGTCATTTTAGTGTCTTCTTTCTCAGTTGGAAGATCATTTAAACAAATAATTTTTTTGTTAGACTTTTCAATGGAGAATCTACCAGAGTCACCATTTTTTGAATCAACATTGGGATCTTCGTCATCATCTCCATCACAAAAAATTCCTAATGACTTGGGTGCTCTCACTCCAAATCAGTTGGTGCTATTGATCGATGATGATAGTCTTCGTGGAGAGGTCATGCATCACCTCTACGAGGTATATGACACATTTAATTTTTACAGTACTTTTTGTTATATGATCTATTTTATGTAAGTGTTAATTTTTGTATTTATGGTTGTTATATATTGTTGTTTTCTACTGGATAGTTTTTCGATGGGTGAGATAGAAAGGCAAACAAAATCATTGATATTTGATTTTTTTCGTGATTTTTTAATTGGACATTAGATTTCACAATGAATGAACTTTTGTTAGTGGTCTTTATAGAAATTATGATGATATGATTAGTTTCTCTTTCAATATCTTAAGAAAATATGTCATATTTACCCAAAATGGGCATGATGTAAATTCAACATGACCCCAATTTAACATTTTATTCAAAAATCAAATTTTGACACGTACGTTGCACGTGTATAATTCGATTAGTGCAAACTTCTTAAAACATTAGAAATAATATTCGAATAATTATGTGATGCATTGGACAAAATTGATCAAAGGGAAGGATGCATTCTCAAATTTATGAATAGTACAATCAATCGATATTTATTACCGTTATAAAGTACAATCACACCCCAAATTTCATTCAGATGAAGTTTAACTGATCCCCTTCATTCTTCTCTCATTTAAGAAAAATTAATTCTTATTTATTGAATTATAATTAAAATATACACCATGTTTTTAGGAAAAAATAATGTAACGAATGTTTTCTTGATTCAAGATCATACAAAATGTATGTACTTATTGAAAGTCAACAAAATCACTTTACTGCGGATATAAAAGAAAGTTGACCTTCTCCTAAAAAAACTTAATTGAGTGACCATCTTAGAAATATCTTAATCTAACTACTGATTTGTGTTAGGTTGACATCACAACCAAATTTTATTTGAGAGGAAGTGCACGAATAACCAATTTGAGGACCCATTTTTTTTATATTGAAAAAGAACACTTTTGAACTTATAAGTTAAAGCACAAATTGTTGCCCTAATGTTATCATGAATAATTTTCATATAAATAGTTAAACATAAATTGTTACACTTCAAAAGTATTGATAAGCATTTTTGACAAACAACACTTCCCATTTTAAGCATTTGGCAAAACAAATTTAGTCCTTTTTTAATCTTCTAAAAGTGCTAGTAATTGACATATTCTGAGTTGGTGACTTTTATATATTTCAGAAGAAAGATTCATGCAAAAATCTAGCTCTGCTGCTGTGGAATAACTTCAACACAGTTTACATGCTTTTGCTGGTATACCTCTTTTAATTTTTGCAGTTTTATATTCTGTTGGATAATCTTAAATTGAATTTTTAGAGACCTCTCATTTAAAAATTTAAGGTATTAAGTTATGTGAAATATAATCGGAAACATATAAAACACTCGCATTTTGATGTCCAAGAAGTCGTCAATGTGACCGTAATAATATTTCTTATGAATTTCAGGAAGTCCTGTCTGTGTATAAGAAGTTTTCACCCTCAACGCTATCTATAAGGGAAGCAACTCGAGTTTGTTGTGCTATTGCTTTGTTTCAGGTCAGTAATATACCATCAAATAGTGTGTTATAAATTTATTCTATTGAAGTAACAAAAAAAGGTTAGAATGATTGAGAAACAGAACCACCTCATTTTATTCGTTCTCAATAACCACGAGATGATCAATGTACTAGTAAATTACACAAAACTTGTTACATGTAGGAAATAATGTATGCATAACTAATCCAAGCATTACTAAGGACACACTCTATTGAACATTATTTTTTATACACTTTACCAAACGGTTCCTAAATGTTTTTCGAATTAACATTTTTTCTCAAATTTAAGAAAAATAACTTACCTCCAAAAAGTAAAGAAACATTTTCTTAAACTTATTCAACCTCCCACCTCAACTTTCCACCGTAACTCAAGTCTTAGGTACTGAATTCCGATACTAATACGAAATATGATCTGATTCTCGATTTGAAAACTGACTCTCGACCTTTATTTGAGATCCAACTCTATGGTCTCGAATTGGGTCGGGGTCAAATCCCAATTTGGGTGTCGGGTCTTCAATCAAAATTTGACTTTGTGTGTCGAAGTTGAGTCTCGAGCTAAGTTTTAGGGTGGGATTCATAGTCAGGTGTTGGAGTTGGATCCTAGGTCAAGAGTCGAGGCTGGGTTTCAAATCGATCATCGGGGTCAAATGTCGATTTGGAAGTTGGGTAATGGATCAGGTATCGATATCAAATCCCAGTTCGAATGTTGGATCCCGAGTCAAAAGTTGGGATCAAGTCTTGATTTGAAAGTCGATCCAAAGTCGGATCGTGTTTTGTGGTCGGATCCTAATTAATTTGGGTGTCTAGTCTCGAATCAGGATTTGATATCAAATTTGGGTCGGGTGTAGGGGTTGAGTTCCGAGCTAGGTGTCGAGATGGGGTTCCAAATCGGGTGTCGGAGTTGGGTCTCACGTTTAAGAGACGAGGTTGGATCCCTAATCGATCATTATGGCCATATGTTTGAGTCAGATGTCGATTTGCAAGTTGGGTTTCTTGTCAGGTCCAGGTTCGGAAGTCAAGTCTTGAGTCGGGATCATGTACCAATTTAGAATTTTATCTAGTGTCTGAACTCGCGGTCGGATGTTGAATCGATCATTAGGGTCGTGTCCAGGTTCGAGTGTTGGGATCGTGTCTCAATTTGGATATTAAAGTTGAGTTCAAGATCAAATATCGAGCTTGTTTTTTGGGTCAATTTCTGATTTCCTAAAAAGTATTTTCTACACTCCGACAAAAAAAACAAAACAATTTTTTGAAAAATACTTTTCAATCACCAAACCAAACACTAGAAATTAAAATACTTCCCAAAAAATAGTTTCCACTCATACCAAAAACACACCTACCTGAGTATTTTTATTTTTATTTCTTAAAACTCTTGTGGTATTAATGTTCTTCATATTAAGTTCCTGTGACACATTTTCTTAGAAAGAGTAAAAGAGTTTTAATGCAATTTTTTGTGTAAGACGACCAATAAGTGTGTGCACAACATATAATTTTCATGGTTATATTCTTCAGGTTATGGCTAATAATACAGAAACAAGAAGGGGGCTCATAAAAGGTAATATCAGTTTTAGAAATGACACCAATTGAAATGAATTTAACGCGCGAAATAACTAGTTAGAGTGAATCAAGTTTCTGAAAGAATTCTTTTTACTGTAGTGTAAGAAACAGTTAACTCTTTTAGTAATTTCATTTTGCAGCTGAAATACCATGTTATTTCTATCCATTTCTCAAGCCCTGTGGAGATGATAAGCATTTGGAGTGTGTGAGGACCACTACCTTGGGTTTTCTCAGTGACCTGACAAAGGTATCTGTCCATTTGAAGAGATATACACATGTGTTCTTCATTTGTGGAAGTGCTACTTCATGATTCAGATATTTTGCTTGCTGGTGTAGTTTGATGATCCACATGGATCAGATGCCCTTCGTTTCTTCTTGAAATCGGAAGTGGTTCCTTTGTGCCTGAAGTGCATGGATGTATGTGACGAAAAGTCACAGAAGGTTAGTCCATTCTGTTCTATTAATAGTGTTTCTGAATTACTTTGCTGGTTTGTGATGATATTCTGTTTCTTGGATCTCATATGAAATGAATGTTGTACCTCCACAGCTTGCAACTCTCATAGTTATGAATATTCTGAAGCAAGAGAGTGGACTGACCTATTGTTCTGCTACGCCTGAACGCTTCTTCGCGATAGTACAGGTCTTAAGACGAGTGGTTGAGAAACTTTCTCTAAAACCTTGTTTGCTGCATCTAGAATATGTGATACAGTGTTATGTATGTCTGTCAAAAATATATAGGTCCATCGGGTAAACATTCTCGCCCCTGCGGCTCAAGTTTCATGATTGCGATTTCTATCTAAGTATCAACTATATCTCTCTTGGATTTATTGTTTGATCAACCTTCAAAATGCAGGCCAGGTGATGAATTCATAAGACAAATTCCTTCTCAGCTATTTGACAACACCTTTAGGCGCACTCTTCTCGTGAGTTTCATCTGTGCGCTCTCCTTTACTGTTACAACAACTAGTCTTGTTACTTTAATGTTACAAAAAGTTAGTTACTTTACTCATACAGAAAATAATAGTGACTTTAGTATTGCAATGAATAAGTTTAGTGACCATCGATAAATCTCTTTTGTATCGATAAAAAAATATAGATCTTTTCAACTACTGTTACAGCTTCATGTGTATAACTGTAAACTTTTGTATGGCTTTGCAGCACAACAACGAAGCTTCGCGGATGTTGCAAGTTCTACATCTCAATATTTATGGATGTCTATATTTTCCGCCAATTGAAGAGAGAAAAAGCATTGCAAAGAAGGTTGCATCAAGTTATGCATCAAGTTCTGCATCAAGTTCAAAGGGTAAGGGAAAGAGAAAGAAGTGAAGTTGTTCTGTAGGAAAAGACAGTAAATAATGACCTCAGTAGAGGGAAAATATGTTTTAAGTTAACTGTTCAACTGTTAAAGCTCGAGAACTTCTTGAGCCTCCTTAAGACTGATACTTTGCTTTGTTATGTACTGAATGGTTGCTTTACTTGCTTTGTGTGTACTGAATGGTAGTTTTGTTCAGCTGAAATGAAGTTATCTTAGCAGTTTCCCGTATTGCAACTTTGTCAATGTCTTTCTTTCATGGCATATTTATATTTTATTTGAGACGAGGGTCTATTGGAAGCAACCTTTCTACCTTCACAGGATAAGATCTGCTCATCTGCATACACACCATCCTCCTCAAATCCCATTTGTGGGATTAAATTTGGTATGTCGTTGTTGTAGTTATTGTATGTCACATGCATCCTAAGCTTAATTAGAAAATACTCGTTCAGTTATATGAACTACAAGAGGCTCACGATAGAGATGTGCTTTTAATGGACTTAGATTTCATCATGAATGAACTTTTGTTAGCGGTCTATATGGCATTTATGATGACATGATTAGTTTTTTCTTTCTATATTATAAGAAAATATGTCATACTTACCCAAAATGGGCATGATGTAGAATTCAACATGACCTTAATTTAACATTTATTTGAAAATTAAATTTTGACACGTTGCACTTGAGAAGGGTACTCTTTCAAATTCAAGAATAGTGCAATCGATCAATAATTGTTATTGTTATAAAGTACAATCACAACACAAATTTCATTCAAATCAAGTTTAAATGATCCCCTTCTTTCTTCTCTCATTAAAGAAAAAGTAAGTTTTATTAATTGAATCACAATAAAGATACACACCATATTATTGGAAAAATATTTCAAGATCATATAAAATATATGTACTAATTGAAAGTCAAATATCTATCTCAAACTGTTATGGAATTATGATAATCATACTAGTATTTGTTTTGTCAAGATGTATCTTATGATCATATTTTTTCAGTAAATACCAATAGATATATGTCATTTTAAATACAAAATTATATGAAATATTTCGAGATGAACGTGCAACACATGTTTCTAGAACTATATTATGAGATATTTTATAATGTTGTCGTGTGGCTGAGAAACTTTGGGTATATTTTGAGCTTGGTCCTCTACTAAACTTCTGATAAAACATGAGATCAAACTGAGAAAGCCCAAAAGAAATGTTGAGCAACCCAATATATAGTGAGATGTCCGTGTCCTAGATAAAAAAAACTTTCTTAAGGTTAGTTTGTCCAAACGGGTCATCCCACCCCCAACCAGTCGAAGCCACGTGGTTGGAATTTGAAAGGCTAAATCTTTCTTTTCTTTGTTTACTCCGAAAAATTTCTCAAAGTATATTATTATTCTTCTTTAATACTGAATCATTGTTCTTTGAACTCTCTCAATTGTATCGTCGTCATCTTTCTTGAGGATTTTGAGCTCTATCATGTAAACGAAGGCGATACCATAAATATAACTAAATTTCTTTATCTCCTTCTTCAATTTCTTTTAAAGGTAAGCAAACAATTGCCCTTCGTCTTTCACTAAAATCAAACACGTCATTTTAGTATTTTCTTTCTCATTTGGAAGATTTTTTAGAATAATTTTTTAAGACTTTCCAATGAAAAATCTATCCGAGTCACCATTTTTGAATCAACATTGGGATCATCGGTATAATCACCACCATAGAAAAATCCTTCTGACTTCGGTTTTCACTTTTCATACTCAAAATTAGTTGGTGTTATTAATCAATGATGCTAGTCTTTGTGCAGAGGTTGTGAATCAATTCTACAAGGTACATGGCACATTTAAAATAATATTTTTTTATTATAGGATCTATTTTATATAAGTGTTATTTTTGTGTGTATATATATATATATATATATATCTTTTATGTACTGATGTCTTGTACTTGATAGTCATTTGATGGGTGAGATAGAGAGGAAAAAAAGTTCATTGATCATTAATGATTTTTATTCATGATGATTTTTAAATGGACATTATAATGAATGAACTTTTGTTGGTGGTCTTTATAGAATTTATGATGATATGATTGGTTTTTTCTTTCTATATTATAAGAAAATATGTCATATTTACCCAAAATTTGCATGATGTAGAATTCAACATGACCTCAATTTAACATTTTATTTGAAAAACAAATTTTGGCACGTACATTGCACTTGAGAAGGATACATCCTCAAATTCACGAATAATACAATCGATCGATATTTATTATCGTTATAAAGTATAACCACACCACAAATTTCATTCAAATGAATTTTCTATGATCCCCTTAATTGTTCTCTCAATAAAGAAAAATAAGTCGTATTTATTGAATCGCAATAAAAATATACACCATATTTAGTGTCTACTTTCTCATTTGGAAGATTTGTTATTTGCAGTTTTGATGATTTGACAAACTCAGGGACCTTGTAAAGGTACCAGGTTTCTTACTTGAGTTTTGAAGATGAAACAAACTCAGGGACCTAGTAAAGGTACCAGGTTCCCATTGTGACTAGCCGATTGACTGCCAGCTGGAAAAGGTACAGAAAGTGGGTGCACATTTCCCAACGACGTCAGAAAGTCATACTTCTCCGACCAATGGCAAAGAGCTTAAGGAAAGTGACTTGTCCATATAAAAGTCACTTTCCTAAACATTATTCCTTAGTTTTTGCAACTTGATAAAGCATTTTTGAAGAACACTTGCAAAGGCTATCGAAAATCAAACAGCAGAATTATTCAGACAACAACTGAAATCTCTGGAGAATTTAGCGTAGTTGTTTAAGAATATATTCTCTTGGTCTAACATCGTAAACTATTCCTGAATATATAAAGGAATCAGTGGGTGGTATTGAAATTCTAAGTTGTTTAGGTGAGATATCTTAGTGGATAGATTTACTTCTACTTAGGCTTATCAAGCAATATAGATTATTGCTTCAACGTGAGATTAAAAACTTCTTCTCACATTTGTTGTAATCGGGTTTCACTTTTGCTTGTGAAGATTAGTGAAAACGATTGAAAATCCTGTGAGACCAGTCGTGGTTTTACTCCCTTAAGCAAGGAGGTTTCCACGTAAAATCGTTGTGTTGTTTAAATTGCATTTACTTTCTGTTCATTCTTGTTAGTGTGTCAAGGGACCTGGTTCATTGACTGATAAGTGAAGGCACATATTCTATCAAGATTTTTTAAGCAAATAATTTTTTTATGAGACGTTTTCTGAATCAACATTGGGATCATCGTCATCATAGAAAAATACTCACCTAGGTGCTCTCACTTCAAATCAATTGGTGCTATTAATCTATAATGTTAGTCTTAATGAAGAGGTCATGCATCGCCTCTACAAGGTATATGACACATTTAATTTGTAAACTATTTATCATATGTCTATTTGATAAGTTAATTTTTTATATATGTTTGTTTTATGTTGTTGTCTAGTACTTGATAGTTGTTTGATGAGTGAGATAGAAAAGCAAAAACACTCATCGATCATTGATTTTTTCGTGATGTTTTTTAATGGATATTAGATTTCACAATGAGCGAACTTTTATTAGTGGTCTTTATACAATTTATGATGATATGATTAGTTTTCTCTTTTTATAATATTAGAAAATATGTCATATTTACCCAAAATTGGCGTGATGTAGAATTCAACATGACCTTAATTGAACTTCGTATTTGAAAATTAGTTTTGGACACGTACATTGCACATGTATAATTCAATGCTAACTTGTGCAAAACTTCTAAAAAATTAGAAATAATATTTGAATAATTGTGTGATGAATTGGATAACATTGAAAGGGATGGATGCATTTTCAAATTCATGAATAATACGAACTTCATTCAAATGAAATCTAAGGGATTCCCTTTATTTGTATCATGCAATATGTTATTAATTCATTGGGAAGATTAAAATTCAATGAAAACATGTTTAATGAGTACGAAAATGTAACAATCTCAAATAAATGTTATGGTAATAATTTATAGAAAATTAAATTAAAGAAGACTAATAGTAAAATAAAAAATAGACATAGAAGACAAAAATAACATATAAGCATCGTTCCTAAGACTTTAATCATAACATTATATAAATGAAAAAAGAAATACAAAATTGACACGTAATTTTCTATGTTTTTGTCTACACCTTATCTCATATCCAATCAAAATTCAAAAGTTTTCTCCATCTAGTCAAAATAAAGTATGAATCAAATAGAAAAATCACTTTATTTTTATAAAGTGATATATATAATCATATTAAGGCAAATATATCATATACTTTAGATGTTGATGGCTTCACTACTTTAACTATAAAATGAAAAGGATAATTTTGGATGTGAGTTTCATGAATTAAAAAAAAGATGAATTTATATAGATAAAAATAAAGAATACCAAGAGACATCTTAAAGCTTTAAATTAAATATTATTTGAAGGTTTGAAGGGGGAAAATAGATTTTAAAAAAAGAACAACTTTAAGAATATTAAATAAATGCAATAAACCTCGATCAAAATTTGAAAGAGTAAACAATCCTCCGTTGAACCCATGAACTCTCCATTTTGTCAATGTAATAATTAATTATCACTAATATTAAATATGTAATTAATTAAATATTTATAATATTTTAATCTAGTATAGGGCAAAATAGTATTTCAATTTTCAAGTTTTTTTTTCTCAATATTAGTAATAATAAAATGAATATATGATCACTAATATTTAAACATGTAATTAACTAAATATTTATAGTACTTTAATCTAGTCTAGGGGCAAAATGATAATGTGCAAGAAGTTGTCAATGAACGCATAATAAAATTTGTCTTATGAATTTGGGGAAATCATATCAGTGTATTGCAAGTTTTCACCCTCAATGCTATCTATGACGGAAGAAACTCGAGCTTGTCGTGCTCTTGCTTTGTTTCAGTTCAGTAATATACCATCAAAATAGTGCATTGAAGTAGCAAAAAAATCAGAAAGATTGAGAAATAGAACCATCTGATGTCATGCATTCTCAATAGTCACGAGATGATCAATGTACTAGTAAATTGTGCAAGACTTGTTACATTTCGTGATTGTGCTTTATGTTGTAATGTTTTAGTTCGTGGAAATCACTGGAAATATGTTGTTTATAAGCATATGATAAGACCACTACATCAAAAATGATCTTTAGCGATAATTAATTAGCGACAATAGCTCAAT